ACTCATTGAATGACTGGACAGTTGAGTATGCGTAAATCCACCTACACCTACACCTACACCTGCCCCTACTCCCGTACTACGATCTATAAGCGTTGTTAGCTTTACTAGTAGAACTACAATTAGAATCCATTGGCGGTGTTAGGTAAAGTTTAACTGAGATTCGTAGTTGGTATGAGATAATTGCAAATAAGACCACAAACCTAAGATGGAAGCATTGATATTGATATGCAATAAAAGTCAATATTAGATTTAGAACTGGTTTTGTCAAAACTGCACTTTGGTTTTCATTCTTTTAACTGTGATTCGTAGTTGGTATGGGATAATTGCAACTAAGACCAGAAACCTAAGATGGAAGCACTGATATGCAGTAAAAGTCAATATTAGAATTGGTTTTATTTGCGTAAAGGGACAAATGGTGCATATTGCACGTGAAGAATAGGCAGATTGGAATATGATGCAAGGCTACTGGAATGCTACTGGAATATTAAAGTCTGGATTGAATGTAACTACTGGAATATTAAAGTCTGGATTGAATGTAGCTACTGGAAGGCTATGTTGATGTATACTCTGGAATATTAAGGCCACTTTAATTTACCTTTACTTCTAGCTAACACCTACGTTAAGAACTAAAAACTTGTTTGAAATGCACTTAACATTTCCAACTTGTTTCAAGGAGCCTAAAGCATTTTATAATATTACAGTTGGAAGTAGTTACACATAATATTAAACAGCATGTTTATAACTTGACAAATGTGCACTCCCATAGTTACACATAATATTAAACAGCATGTTTATAACTTGACAAATGTGCATATTGGGAGTGCACATGTACGATCTGTAGTGAATAAGTTTAGAACCAGTCTTGATGTAGATGTAGATTACACTTGGTGTCAGAACTTATAACTTGTTTGAAGTGCTCTTAACATTTCTAACTTGTTCATAACTTTTTGACTGTGCAGATTGGGACTGTTGTGGGTATTTATCCAGTCGGGATGAGAGGCGTGCACATGGAGTCCTTCCTTAGTCAGGTGATAAAGACCGTAATAAGTGGATAGTGTACACACGAAAGAAGAAGGAAAGTCAGAACAAGGAAGGTAACAATTAATCAATCAACCCCAATTCATGCAACAGTTACAATCAAGGCATATTTCTAGGAAAATCTGCCATTATTGTTTAACATGATTATTGCTTAATTTCTACAATTAGACCTTGTAATAAGGTATAAATTGAGACCTTCTCCTAGGCAGTAAGGTATCGAATAAGCTCTGAAATGCAGCTGGGCAAGATATCTTCTTGCAGGAGGGAACCTTATGGTCCCTTGTTTTTTTTTTTTCTGTTTTCTCCCTTATTTGAATTCTGAAATTCCAAATTCTCTTTTTCTCTCCTCTCGGCCCTTTACTCTAACAAGTTGCTCCGACCTGCCATGACACGAATGGATGCGAGAGTAGACACGTTGGAGAAGGGTCAAGACGATTTACGGGCAAACGTGGTTGAACAATTCACTGAGGTTCGGAGCTCCATCACCAATCTGGAAAACTCCATTGCCACGTTAACCGAGTTGGTTACTCTCTCTCTCCAAAATAAAGGCCATACTGAATCCAATTCTATTTCCAAGGCTAGCAGACAAAGCGACACACCGATGCAACAATCAGGTACCACCACACAACCTCTCGACCCGATTACTACTGATGCAGACCAATTCCCTCCCAAAAGGATCGACATACCTAACTTTGATGGTGCTGACCCTATTGGCTGGCTGGCTCGTGCGGAGCAGTACTTTGTAATACAACGTACACGCGATGAATTAAAGGTTGCTACAGCCTTTGTGAGTATGGAAGGGGCAGCACTCCATTGGTTGAGATGGTTACAACAGAAAACGCCGACATTGTCTTGGGCCCAATTCAAGATAGAACTCATGGACCAATTTGGCGGTGACCTAGCGGCTCCTCCTATTGAGCAGCTAGCTGCCTTACATCAAGTTGGAATGGTGGACGAATTCATGACTGAATTCATGGCTCGGGCAGCCCAAATCCCAAAACTTTTAGAAGAATTCCATTCCACACTCATGGGAGGTCACTCTGGTGCGTATCGCACTTACCGCTGCATAGCAGATAGTGTGTATTGGAAAGGGATGATGAAACGGGTCCAACAATTTGTATCCGAGTGCCTTATATGTCAAAAAAATAAGTATGACACTTTGGCCCCAGCAGGACTTCTCCATCCATTGCCAATTCCAGCAGCTGTTTGGGAAGATATTGCCATGGATTTCATCACAGGACTCCCTCGTTCCAGCGGATTCGATTGCATATGGGTGGTCATAGACCGCTTCACTAAATATGCCCATTTTGTGGGACTCCGACACCCATACACCGCAAAATCTCTTGCTGCAATATTCGCAAAGGAGATCGTTCGTCTACATGGAGTTCTGAGGTCAATTGTGTCTGACCGTGACTCGATATTTTTGAGCAATTTTTGGAAAGAATTCTTTGCAAAGTGGGATACCAAGCTTCGAATGAGTAGCTCGTACCATCCTCAGACGGACGGGCAGACCGAAGTACTCAACAGATGTCTCGAGCAGTATTTGCGATGTTTTACATCAGAACAACCCACACAATGGGGCCGATATCTACACTGGGCTGAATATTGGTATAACACCTCCTTTCATGGAGCTGCAGGTATCACCCATTTTCAATGTATGTATGGTCGACCTCCTCCCACCTTGGCTCAATATTTGCCTGGGGAATTCAAAGTGGCAGTAGTGGCCGAGGAACATTGTGATCGAAATGAAATACTCCTCCAACTCCGCTACAATTTGGACCGAGCACAACAACACATGACCAAGGTAGCCAATGCCAAACGACGGGATTTTCAGTTTGTTGAAGGTGATAAGGTCTTACTTAAGCTTCGTCCACATCGCCAATCAACAGTCCAGCGGCGTGTCAATCAAAAGTTAGCCCCGCAATATTTTGGTCCCTTCACTATTGTGCGAAAGTTAAGTGCAGTATCATACAAGCTTGCACTGCCTGCTACAGCTAAGGTACACCCTATTTTTCATGTGTCCCAACTTCGCCGTGTCACAGGCGACCATCCAGCTATTGCCAAGCTTCCCGAGGATATGACAATGGGTGAACAAGGTTACACTCCCCAAGATATTCTGGCTACCCGCGAGCACAGTGGGAACACCCAGGTTCTGGTGCAATGGGAGGGCCAGCCAAAGGATGATGCTACTTGGATTGATGTTGCTGATTTTCGTGGCCAGTTTCCAGACTCCAACCTTGTGGACAAGGTTGTTCCGTTGGCGGGCAGCATTGATAAAGACCGTAATAAGTGGATAGTGTACACACGAAAGAAGAAGGAAAGTCAGAACAAGGAAGGTAACAATTAATCAATCAACCCCAATTCATGCAACAGTTACAATCAAGGCATATTTCTAGGAAAATCTGCCATTATTGTTTAACATGATTATTGCTTAATTTCTACAATTAGACCTTGTAATAAGGTATAAATTGAGACCTTCTCCTAGGCAGTAAGGTATTGAATAAGCTCTGAAATGCAGCTGGGCAAGATATCTTCTTGCAGGAGGGAACCTTATGGTCCCTTGTTTTTTTTTTTTTTCTGTTTTCTCCCTTATTTGAATTCTGAAATTCCAAATTCTCTTTTTCTCTCCTCTCGGCCCTTTACTCTAACATCAGGAGTGCACCCGCTAGCATTCTGGGCTTGAAAGATGGGATCAAGTACTACATTTAAACCTGCGCAAAAGGTTCATGCACAACATCCTGCTCAGTGCAGTAAATAGCAACATGCAAAATATTGTCACACGCGTTGGAGAGTATTAACAAGAGCAAAGGGCGTACTTGTAAATAATTTAGTCGCGTGTTACACCTGTTAATAATTTAGTCTCGTATTACACTTTAAAAATCTGGAACTAATGTCCCTTTTTTGTTTGTGGCCACTAAAGTGGTGGCACTACTGTTGGTGTCTGGTACGTTGGGGCCATGATAATTGATAAGGTCCCGAAGTTTTTTTTTTCTTTTTTTTTTTTTTTTTTTTTTTTTTTTTAGGGGGTTGTGGTCTTGTGGATATTAGTTAGCTTACAACAGCAGTGCAAACTGTCAGTTCGTTAGGGTTATTATGCAACAGTACCAAAGCCAATCATCTAATTGCATTTGGTTACATTACAAAAACTCCTAGTCTGCAACATAGTAATATGATCAAATGCTTTTGAAGCAATAAAGGTGAAGGAATCAAGTTGTAGTCTCCAGCACAGAAATCTAATCAAATGATTTTGGATTAACAAAACTGAAATAATAAAGTTTAAATTGGTAACATAGCATACAGTCATCTAATTACAATAAGTTGTGTAGTAGTGCAATCGAATACATTAGGAACGTCATGTTGTGAAGCAGGAGCAAATCCAATCATCTAATTGGATTAAATGTGCAGAAGTGCAATTCATTTTTTTGGTTACGGTTATTGCAAGTAATCTAGACAACTGCTTTAAATCAATAAAAGTCAAATAATACCATTAGAATTACAAACTTGACTAACAGGGACACACAACGGTGCATGGGTTCTATCATGGCACTAGCACGTGCAAACCATTCTTTAGTTATGGTTATTATGTAACAAGAGCAAACCCAGTATCTAATTACATTAAGGTGTGCCCCAGAGTGCAGTTGAATACATTAGGTATGTCATGTGGCAATTAATCTAGTCAATTGCTTTGAATCAATAAAAGTGAAATAATACTATTACAACTAGAGACTTGTCTAACATGGACACACAACGGGTGCATGGACTTTATCATGGACACACTATTGAGGGAAGAAGAGTAGAAGGTCCTTCTTGTATTTTTCCTTTCTCTATCTGTTATAACTGCCACTAATATATAAGGTGGCAGTTTCTTCTTCTTTTGTATCGATTCATACATTCATGTACCAAAACCAGTGAGATGAAAGTTTACCGCCCATTTTCTCTTTGAGTAAAGACTCTTTTCCGATATGGTAGCAGAGCCGCCGAGACGATTCTCATACGCAGCCGCCGTCTCCGGCGAAGGAAGACATGAGAGGAACACAGCGTCACCTCTCATCCGATCACCAGCTCGCAACGCTACATCAGCTCCGCAGAGGAACTCTAATCTACAGACGCAGAGAAACTACGGCACAGAGGATATGGAGAATCCGCTGTTTCTCAGCGTGAACGAGAACCCCTCTGCGATCCTCGTTAGTCCCCCATTAGTAGGTAGCTCCAACTACACTTCTTGGTATATCTCGATGCGGATCGCCTTGGAAGTGAAGAACAAATGGTGGATCGTCAACGGCAGCGATTCAACTCCGAGCAGAGAAAGCAGCCAGTATGCGGCTTGGAGACGCTGTAATCTTATAGTGTGCTCCTGGATCTTCAAGTCAATCCACACCTCCATAGCTCAAAGCGTTATGCATTTGGACAAAGCGCGAGATGTCTGGGAAGATCTGAGAAAGAGATTCGCACAATGCGATGCACAACGGATCTCAACCTTACAGAATGAGATCAACAATCTGAAACAAGGTAACCTATCTGTGAGCGATTACTATACTAAATGCAGGACCATGTGGGAGGAGATGAATATCTTGAGGCCTCTCCCAATATGCAAGTGCGATCCAAGATGCGATTGCGGTCTCGTTGATGAAATTAGAAGAGAACGGGACGTGGATCAGTTGATAAGATTCCTCCAAGGATTGAACGATGACTTCAATAGCTTGAAGTCTAATGTTCTTGTCCTCGATCCATTGCCGGAAGTATGCAAAGTTTATGTGATGGCAGAGAAGGTGAAACGACAGATTGGCATGACTAACATGAACATGAGCAGTTTGGAAGTCGGCCAAGCTAATGCTGTCCAGATGAATAACATACCAGCAGAGGAGATTGTGGCTACTGTCAACAACTATAATGGAATGATGGGGCACACCATTGACAAATGCTACAAAAAGCATGGCTATCCCCCCGGTTGGGTGCCAGGCTTCAAATCCAAAATGAAACAACAAACTGCTGCTCCAGTGATGACTGATCTGGGAATCAGCAATGATCAATTTCAGAAACTCTTACTGGCTATGCAAAATCAGATGAACCTGCCTTCCAGCTCCAATACCACTGCAGCAGTTTCATTGATTCCCAAGTTTGCTGAGGAAGACAATGGAGGCAAGTATTCCTCTTCTCGCATTAATTTCCTTTCAATATGTGAGTCTACTTGGATATTAGATTCGGGTGCTACCGATCATATCACTTGCTCCATTGAATATTTTGATGAATATTACACTGTTGAAGGAGAAGAAGTTAGCCTACCTACTGGAAACCGCATTGCTGTGAATCATAAAGGGAGTGTGAAGCTGGGGAACAATCTGTGGCTGAGAGACGTTATGCATATCCCAACCTTCCAATTTAACATAGTATCAGTGAGCAAATTGCTTTAGGACACATCTTACAACTTGATTTTTTCCTCTGGACAGTGTCTGATTCGGGGTGCCCATGGAGTGATGATTGGCTTGGCTAAACAAGAGAAAGGATTGTATCTGATGAGGCCATCTCTGGAACCTGCTTCTTGTCATAAAAATCTGGTTATGCAATGTAATAAAATTGAAGTATGGCACCAACGTTTGGGCCACTTCCCTATGAATAAACTGCATATGTTTAAAGAAATTCCAAGTTTAGCTTCTACTAATAAAGCTTGTGACGTGTGTCATTTTGCCAAACACAAACGTTCCCCCTTCCCCATAAGTACCACAACAACAAAAGCTTGCTTTGAACTCATCCATGTGGATATATGGGGGCCTTTTCCGGTATGCTCAATGAAAGGAGAGCAATATTTTCTGACTATAGTGGACGATTATTCCCGCTTTACTTGGCTACATCTAATGAAGAAGAAGTCAGAAGTTAGAGAGTTGATAAAGGGGTTTCACAGTTTTGCATACACACAATTTGGATCTCTAATTAAGATAATTAGAAGTGACAATGGTTTAGAGTTTGACATGGCAGGTTTCTACAATGAAAAGGGGATCATTCATCAAAGGTCATGTATTAATACTCCACAACAGAATGCTGTGGTTGAAAGAAAGCACCAGCATATACTAAACGTTGCAAGAACGCTTCGCTTTCAAGCTCATCTTCCACTGGAATTTTGGGGACAGTGTGTAAGGCATGCCGCATTCATCATCAACCGCCTTCCATCACCCGTAATTGAAGGATCAAGTCCTTACCTCGGGTTACATGGTAAAGAACCTAATCTCAATATACTTAAAGTTTTTGGTTGTTTATGTTTCGCCTCTACTTTGCCTCATTCAAGGAATAAGATGGAACCAAGAAGCAGAAAGTGTATTTTTATTGGTATGCCAGCTGACATGAAGGGTTATATTCTATATGACTTACTTGACAAATCCATCTTTGTGTCAAGAGATGTGGTGTTCTATGAGTTGGAATTTCCTCTATCCGAACAAGCCACAAATTCAGCTGAGTTCATCCCCTCACTGCCAAACATTCCAACATCAACATCCTTGAATTATGGAGACATGAATACTAGGGAGCCAAATGCCAAACAATGGGCTGGTATTGGTGGAAACTATTCTGATGCACATACTAGCCAGCCACAGTGCGAAACAACATCCAATAACTCTCAGGATATCATTAGTGATCAGACATCCCCTGGGGCTACACCTTATGAAATTCAAGAAGCTGTGGTAAGTGATGTTGAAACAGCTAGTGCCACACCTCCAATCCCTCTACGCCGTTCAAACAGAGATAGGCGTATACCCAACAAGCTCCAAGACTATTACTGTGATGCAGTTGCAAGACAAGGCTCATCTCCACATGTTCTTTCCAAAGTCATATCTTATGACAACTTGACAGACTCACATAGGGCCTTCACCATGTCTGTCACCTCCATAACGGAGCCCCAAACATACAATCAAGCTATTAAGCAAGAATGCTGGAGAGATGCTATGCAGACAGAAATTAAAGCCCTCCAGGATAATCATACTTGGCAGTTGACAGAATTGCCCAATGGAAAAACTCCAATAGGGTGCAAATGGGTTTACAAGGTCAAGCTTAAGGCGGATGGCACGATAGAACGATGCAAAGCTAGATTGGTAGCTAAGGGATATACTCAACAATTGGGGGTGGATTACATCGAGACCTTTTCCCCGGTGGCAAGGTTAACTACCATTCGAACTTTTCTAGCTGTAGCTGCATCGAAAGCTTGGCATATCCATCAATTGGACATCAACAACGCCTTCCTACATGGCGATTTAAATGAAGAGGTTTATATGGTTCTTCCTCCCGGCTTTCAAAGTGACAAGCCGAACCAAGTGTGCAAACTGTTAAGGTCACTTTATGGCCTCAAGCAAGCAAGTCGCCAATGGAACGCCAAGCTCACTACTGCCCTATTATGTGAAGGTTTTAAACAGTCTAATGCTGATCCTTCTCTGTTCACCAAAGGCACTGGCAGTAACTTCATCTCTCTCCTAGTTTATGTTGATGATATTTTAGTAGCCAGCAGTAACTTGGTTCTCATCCAGAAGTTGAAACATTTTCTTCATAAAGCCTTCAAAATAAAGGATCTTGGTGTTCTCGGATACTTCCTGGGCATTGAAGCAAGAATTAGCAGTGCCGGATTGAATTTATGCCAAAGGAAGTATGCCCTTGACATTCTCAGTGATGCAGGATTCCTTGATTGCAAACCTATAAATACACCAATGGTTCCAGGCTCTCAATTGCTCCGGGAAGACGGCACAACTCTAAGTGATCCGAGCAGCTACCGCAGATTAATAGGCAGATTGCTGTATCTCACGGCTACTAGGCCGGACATCACTTACGCCACTCATCAACTCAGTCAGTTCGTTAGTAAACCTACTGATAAACACATGGCTGCTGCACATCGCATACTTCGTTACATCAAAGGCTCTCCCGGCCAAGGTACATTTTATCCTGCTGAAAATGTTCCCAAGCTGAAAGCGTTCTCCGACTCAGATTGGGCTTCATGTGCCGATACCCGCAAGTCAGTCACTGGCTTTTGTATTTTTCTGGGAAACTCTCTGATTTCATGGCGTTCGAAGAAACAAGCCACCGTATCAAAATCATCGTCCGAGGCAGAGTACCGGGCCCTTGCCACCACTGCTTGTGAACTACAATGGCTCACCTCCCTACTCAAAGATTTTGGCATAGCCACGACTGATCCCGCTACCGTTTATTGCGACAACAAATCTGCAATCGCCATTGCCGAAAACTACGTGTTCCACGAGAGAACCAAACACATAGACATCGACTGTCACATTATACGTGAGAGAATTGCTCAAGGGTTGGTTAAACTGCTATCTGTTTCAACCATCAACCAAACTGCTGACGGTTTTACTAAGCCCCTGCCTACCTCCCAGTTTGAATCTTTTGTGTCGAAGCTGGGTGTACAAGACCTACACACTCCAGCTTCCGGGGGGGTATTGAGGGAAGAAGAGTAGAAGGTCCTTCTTGTATTTTTCCTTTCTCTATCTGTTATAACTGCCACTAATATATAAGGTGGCAGTTTCTTCTTCTTTTGTATCGATTCATACATTCATGTACCAAAACCAGTGAGATGAAAGTTTACCGCCCATTTTCTCTTTGAGTAAAGACTCTTTTCCGATACACACACTCGTCATCCCACAGACCACCACCTGCAATGAATAAAACAAACCAATGAAATTAAGCATTTGCTCAGTATAAAATGGTTTGCATTGGTCCCGGTAAGAGTCATGGGTTAAAACATGAAAACTCATTAGTAGCATCTGTTCAAGAAGATATACACTCAAAATCTGATGTTTATCAAACAATACTAATGCAGAACTCCAAATAATAAACCAAACGAAACTAAAAGAAAAATAAAAAATAAAACAAGAAGAAAAAAAAATTAAGACAAGAAAAATTAAAAATTAAAGCACGATATCATAGTTATCACAATGGTCATCATATGCAAATATGCAATAACCACTGCGTCACACTCCCGCTCACCATCTCCCATTCATTGGTCCCTGGGGGAAAAACATGAAAACATTGCAAAGCTCGAGTTGATTGTTGGAGTGCACATTATTAATATATTATATGCGCAACATTACTAGATATCATCTCTAATGAATTTCTTGTTTCATCTCATTAAAACCCTTTTAGTTTAGAAACCCTTTTAGTTTACAAACCATCAAAAGTGTTATCTAGCAGTAAAATTAAATTACAATAGCCATAACACACTTTTGGTGATTAAGAACTAAACCCAACACTAGAATAACAAACTAGAACTGTCAGCGCACACCTCCAATAAAACCATTTATTCATTTCTGCATTCTTCGCACTTATTCTACCCTTTTCGTCTCGATTACAAATACTGGAATTCTCTATTCCTTTAAAATTTACATCAAAAAATTATCAACGAACCCACATGAAATCTCATTCTTCATTCTAATTTTTTCATTAATTAATTACACCACGATTGCACAATCAGAAAGGACATAATTGCTTAATTAATGGACTGACTACTAGATTTGACAATGCGCAGGATCAATAAAATACTACATAGTCCTTCCTGTTCCTTTTGCACCACTGTTTCAACCTAACCTACTTGGTGCTATTTTTTTTTTTCTTAAAATGGTATTATGTGTTTAGGATGCATTACCAGCGTTTGTGTTAGATTTCAAGAAAGAGAGCATTGAAGAAGCATGATGACTAGCGGACTATATGATTAGTGAAACATGGATGAACTGTGTACTCTTTCCCTTTCTATCACTTAGCTTCACTAGTACTATTAGAATGAAGAATCATTAAAATTACACTCCATTGAAAGTGCACATCTTCAATAAAATACTACAATTGTCAGTGCACACCTTCAGTAAAATAATACAACGGTCAGTGCACATCATAGCCGCAGGTTTATAAATTAAATTAAAACAAACCTGGACACCATTAAATATGAAGAAACCTGGCCAGCTGAGGTAGTGCAGTGATCATCAGCTTCACGAACCCCATAATCACATACAAGTCTAATACTCTATAGGGTGGGTGGTAACCAACCTCAGATCACCACCGCAACCTCCAACTTTACTGGTCTGCGTATTCAACAGCCCATAATCACCACCACTACTAATTTACTGGAAGGTGGGTGTAAACCAACAAATATACTACTACCCTAGCTAATTCGCATGCCAGGGGCCGATCATCCACGGTAGTCCGGGAACGAAGCAGCAGCAGGAGGATCCAACCACACCCATAAGGTGCCGCTGCAAGGCTGGGATCAGCCACCGCTCCGGCGTACCGGCTCCCGCACAGGGGCTGCCTTCGATGTCTCCGCCGGTACGACGTCGCCGTTCAGCAAGTGCGGCGTACGAAACCAAAAGAAGGAAGGGGAGGATGAGGGTGGAGGATACCTGTGGAAGCAGTCTCGGATGCACCGGCCGCAACA